CAGGAATGCTACAAAAGGTAAATCTTCTTTCTCCTCCTTCTTTCCCAGTGCTGACTGCAAGTCATGCTTTTCTGTTACTACTGGGAAAAATGGAGCTTCTGATCAATGACTCTCAAGTTGCCACTCAAACATCTTTAATAGATCAGACTTTTTGCTAACTGATGATAATTACCAAACACTTGACCTCAAAAAATGCATGTGATTTCCACCTTGTAGTTCCACCACCCTGCTTAACCACAGGTAAACCTTAGCATCTCAATTCATTAGAGCATGACTTAATGATGTCATTCAGATGCATGTTATCCTCACTCAGGTGCAATGGGTTCAACAGTGTGAGAAAGAGAAATCTGACAGCATCCGTGCTCTCATTATTTCTCACTCAGTTGAGCATTTCTGCCTGTTTGAGTACTCAAGAAAGGCCTTTTCCAGTTCTCTGAGGGTTCTGCATTAACATAAATACAACCTTTCTGTAAGCAAACAGCAACGTTTCACCTGTAAACATAACTGGTGCCTTCTCTCTCCATCCTAGGGGCAGTCAAAGTTTGGGACCCAAATCCCATGTATCAAAAGCATTCACCTAGCAGACAGCTGCTAGACATGCATTTCATAATTTACACAGCAAAGGGACGGTGGTTACAGGCAGGTGGTGAGTCCCATGGCAAGTAGGAAGCACAAGTTTCAGTGGTCGGCCTGCTTCCCACTGCTGGATCCTGGATTATCCAGCTTTAGAGCTATACCTGAACTCCTGTAAGCCTAAAAGCCATGGAGGCTATTGTTGGCTAGACTTGTTCCATCCTTCTCTAAACGGCATGATGTTCTCTCATCTTTTTTAACATTTTTAACTAATTTACCAACACATCGCAAGTAAAATTCATGCCAATGCCTTCCATTAAGCCACTCTCCAATTATGCTAATGTCACACAATATACATTACAGAATCTTCTTTTTATGCCCACCAGAAACGCTGGTTACAACATGGACTTCATCCGATGTACTTCTAATTTACATCAGCATTTGTTCAGAAACAGGCCCAATGCAAAGTTGAGCATCTCTGTTATCCTTGTGTAACTATTCTTTACTGTTGAGCTGCTGGACAGCAGTATGCTTTGGCAGACGGTAAGCAGAATCATCACATTCTGTTTAATCACGGTTGGCAGCACAGTATGGTTTAATTAGCTGATTATATGTAAGAAATGGGAGGGTCTTCACTTTACACAACCACCTCCTCAGTGGACAGTTGGAATCTTTAAATTTTTATATGTGTATGGTGGGGGTGTGTGTGTGTAGCAGCATATATTTGATAATACTTTTGTAAATGAAAAATACAGAGCATTTCTTTAAAAATGGAAAGGTATAGTAAAAATGTATCACAAAATAAAATACAAAACGTGGGAGCTGAAGGGGAAGGAAAGCAATGGATTTGATTTACAACGCATCAGATTCCAAGCCCTGGTGCCTAGACTGAAGAAAGATATCTGAATGTAGAACTGCTGCTCTGATGTTAAAAAGGATAGAATCCAGCCTTTCGTTTCCTGCATGAAAAAAGACAAACAAAATAAAATCAACAATGTACTGAACATACCAAACAAGATCAGCAGTGAGGCACAAGAGGACGATGTCTAAAAGTACATAAAGCTGACTGCCACAGCTTGAGATGGCATACTGAGAGGGGAAGAGGGTGGTGGGTGTGGAGAATAGAGGTACCTGGCATTTAATGTAAATCATGACTCATCACAGAGTGGTTTGGAGCTAATCTTGTGCTGGATGCTGAAAAAACGGTTTTGGTCCTTTCAGCTTCCCCTTATAAATCACAGTCAGTCTTTGCTATCATGTCATTTACTCCTGTTCTGCCTGCATTGTTTTCTCAGTCAGAACGGTATCGTACCCTGTAAAGAGCCACCAGTGGCTAAGACCAAAGCTTAACAAAATATGAAACAGATCCCAGTGCTTGTTTCTGTCCTCTCCCATCCACTCCTCCCAAGCTCTTGAAGTGACAAGCTGCTAGATCACAAGCCTGTAGGGCTAATGATCCATCTTTTATCTGGCTTCACAATGCTGCACAGAGCTGTGGACCTGGACAAAAAAAACAAACCCAAAAACCAAACAAGGGGAGTCCAGTTTGGTAGTAACTTTAAAGTTTTGCTTTGCCTCAGAGATAAACTCTATAATTTTTGCCTGCTAAGTCCACTGGATTTAGCAGGCTTTACATCTGTTTCACATCCTAAACTGAAATACTGTCAGACTTCTTACATGTAGCTTTCAGTCTAAAGCTGGATACTGTTTGTTGGCAGTACATTTAAGTAGCTTCACTTGGGTATATAATCACAGCTGGCAAATGAAAACTATTTATTTTGGACAACGTAATGTCTCAAACTGCATATTTTTTGCAGCTTAAAGACAATCAGAAAGACAGGGAGGAATTTCTGTCACTACTTGTCCAGAAAGAAGAATAAGAAAAAAGTATAATGCCACAGGCTTTGTCTGCATCCCTGAGAAAAACATTAATATTCAGCTGTTACTTAGCTCTCCAGGATAATGAACAACATGTTTAGTAAGAGCCTGTGTGAGCTAAGGCATAAGTATTTCTTGCTAGCATGTGTTTTATGGCCCTCATTAATATTGCATGCAGGGAGCAGGAGAACTCATGCTGCATGTTTCATTATTATATCTGATTCCTGACCACGACATCGTTGCCATTCCACCTGTCTTCCCTCTTCAGGGTTGCACATGGCTCTTAAGGGCAGCATGAAATAAAATAGCTTTCCAAAGGAAAACTGAGCCCTCTTCAGCCTGTCCTCAAAGCTAAACGCTCAAACTTTACAAGTTAACTTTAAAAAACAAAGCCTCAGTTAAGACTTGTCAATGCGCCTCACATAGAGATGAGGCTCACTGATTTGAAAGCTGCTGTCGGCCCCATTAGATGTGAACCAGCAAACCAGAACACAACCACTGGTAAAACTCTCTTTAAAAGAGAGCACACGTAAATCAGTTCTTCTTTAAAAGAGAGCACACGTAAATCAGTTCTTCTTTAAAAGAGGGCACACGTAAATCAGTTCTTCTTTAAAAGAGAGCATACGTAAATCAGTTCTAAGTCCAGGCCTTGGGGCTCAATACAAGGACCGCACTGCCAAGTGATTTGAACTTTGACTTTACTCAGGGGCACTGCATTAAAGTCTTTAAACAATTACACCACTCAACACTAGGTGTAAGAAGAGATATCACATCTGTTGCGTGACTCTAGTCTCGAATCTGGACCCAGCTGTGGTATATATACAGTTCAAAATGTACGCTTGTACACCGTAGGCCACTCAAATACCCCGGAGAACATTCTGTATTACACCATGACAAATGTTTCCATTTACACCATTAAAAATAAGGCTAAACTCTGATTGCACATACATGTACCATTTCCTGCATTTTCTAGAAGTTTAACAATCATTTTGGAATGCACTCTCTACTGTCTTTCTCGATTCCTCATAAATCATGAACCATCCAATTTACAGGTCCTAGAGATGTTCAAAACATGCAAAATTAACTACATGTTCTTCAGATGTAGAGGTCAGTAGGGTCCGATTCAGCCTAGCTATGGGACAGCGCTCAGCAACACTTACCTCGAGCAGTCATGTCCAGTCCATGACAAGGGACAATAGCACCGATTTGGTCGTATGCACTTCCCACCATTTAAGCAAGGCAACTGGCAAACAGCTGCATACAAATACACACAAATTGCATTAATGAGCACATCCACAACAAGCTGATTAAGAAACAGGACACTGAAAACCCAGCCAGCGTTATTCTCAAGACTACAACATTAAACATTTGTTGTGAGTCAGTTGTAAAAGATGGTTTGCTCTGGAAAGGGCATCCTTGGAAGTACCTCTCTGCTGAATGTGATGGGACCTCCACTGCTGCTTTTGCTGTCTGGTGCAGTGTACGAGCTGCATATAACAGCCTGTGTATAATTTTATGTTGCCCTAAAAATTCTGTTCTTTTGGCCTCAAGTTGAGACAAAGAAAGGAATTCAAGTGGATGCAGGAGGAGTAACCAGAATAGAAGAGTGAGGAGATCAGTAGCAGATTAGGGCTTATTTCTAGGAAGAAACTGTGGTGTTTATCTGAAAGGAATATGACAGCTAAACAGTAGCCAGGACAAGCAAACACTCAACATGGTAAAAAAGTAAAGAAAGAGACAGAATAAACAGAGAAAGTTAAAGGTCAGACAGGCATTTACAGATCAACACCAGGCAAGGAGTTACACTTCACATGATGGCCCCTTTATGGAGACAAGGAAAGGAAGCAGAGAATGACAGTAAGTTCATGAATGACACTGGATAGTCATAAGAGATGTGACTAGGTGACACAGGGTGTTTGAAATGGAAAACAAAACACTACTTTGCCTAGTAGGGTTGTTCTGAGACAGCTGTGAAATGGCTATGCTTACTTTTGTTTGACAGCCCAACCCAAGGATATCAAGAAGCCAAACAAAACTCAAAACTTCAAGTATTCCTATCAATTTTGAGATTGGAAGATAGAGCATCATACAATTTACAAACAGTTTTTGAGACTCCCTTAATGAATACCTTCAAATGCAAACATTTATATCACAGGAAAGCTGAAAAATATGAAGTCTTTTAAGCAGATAATGCTGATCTAGAGCACAGGCCTAAAGAATACTAGTGTGGATAAATGGTGGGTAATAACTTTGCAAGGAATATGCATCAGGAAACATTGATAAAAATGGAATTACAGGAAATGGAAATGAGTAATCACAGGGATGCAAAAGGAGATGGAAGTACACTATTCTGATTCCTTTGGGCTAAACAAGAACAAACAATGGCAGGAGGTTATACAGACGGACCATTCCTGTGCAATTAAGTGCACCAAGTTTGTCATGTTGAAAATGACTTCTGATTCTGGAATGAAGCATATGAATGAAACACCTTTAGCTCCAATTTATGTACATAATTATTCCTGTGAGATCAGCAGTTAAATATTTCTCATTTCACTTTGCTCTGTCATGGCAAAAGATCAAGACCAGTAAGTAAAATGAGAAGTGGTTTAATAACTTCATAAGCAGTGGTTATGAGCTTTTATGAATGGGCTTTGGCTCAGATGCAGCTACTCACTAGAATTTTTTCTTCAGCTACTGAAAAGCAAGTCAGCCTGAATAGATTTAAACTGCTGGCCCAAAAGCGAAAAAGCTGTCTATGCTCCTCAACCAGCTTTGCTGTTATAGTTGCAAAGTTTGTGATGTATGAGAGGAAATGATGCATTATGTACTAGGCAAGTGTCCCTTCAAAAGACAGTAGCTCTTAGTTAAAGCGTTCATTCTAGAATTTCACTTTGTGGAAGGATGGTTGGGTTTGCAGTGTATCACACAGCTTATTCCCCAGACTCATTATTCTTATCAGTTGAACAAACAATGTGAACATTCATTAACAAAAGCACTAACTCCTCCTCCGGTTCTCCCAATCAGCCACTCCAACGACTTGCAGGAAGGCAAAAGGGGGCTTTTGTGTTAAAGCCCTGTTAACAATCAGTCATGATGTATCCAGACAATAAAAATACAGTAAGGAAAATAAAATACTCTTTAAAAAAAATATTTAACACTTATTACTGATTGAGATTTAATAATGATTGAAAGACACTTCAAGGACCACTCAATTGCTATGAGTTTTACTGGCTATTCCCACAGAGACAAGCCTTTCAGAAACCAACATTTGCCTAGTCTCCATGTGGAACCGTATATGCCAGATTTGGGCTTAAATATTACCCCTAACTGCAAGTCAACTCATCTGACAAGCTGGTGTGTCAGGACACAGTTCTGGTGCCTAGAACCACTGTCCGCACCACTTAGGTGTGCTACATGCCCTTCAGCCTTGGTGAGGTCCAGGTAAGAGATGTAGTAAAACTCAGCACATGCTAAAACGCAGCACATGCTAAATTTGTTCAGAGAACTTAGATAATACCTAATGTAAGGTAGTTATGTACAATATACATGGTACCTTACATGGATCTCAAGTACCCATCAAACCCAGCCAAATCCTTGTTTTGCTCTGTCCTCTTGCATAGCTCAGAGCCCAGGCAGTAAGTGGGAGTCCCCACACTAAACAGCTATGTGGTGAAAAACCTCTGTAGTACATGCAGCTTGTTGTGAGTTTAATGGTGACATGCACGTGCTGAAGATGAAAATGAAATTCTATGTCTTCCTGGAACTGACAGTCTAGCTTTATTCTCTCTGGAAATCCTTTTTCCTCTGCATTGCTTTATCAGAGAGCACTCTTGTGCATGCTGTCTGTCCTTCCTGGGAGCAAACTTTTCTGAGGATTTTAAAGACTCATCACCCTGAAAACAGTTTGCAGCTGGGGACAGCAAATCCTCACGGAGTATTACTGCAAGCCTGGGTCTTCCTGTGAGATGCTTAGTAGTTCTACAGAGTCCTTAGTGAATTGTGCTAGGTATTCACAGTACAGTCACAAAAAGTGAGAAAAAAAATGGAGGTGGAAGGCATTTTACCTATATGGCAGCGTGATCCAGTCCATCCAGGGGGGCAGTCACATTGGTAAGGGGCCACACAACGACCTCCATTGAGACACGGCAGGATGCATATTGCTGAGGAGAGGAAAAGAGAACCAATGAAAAGAACTATCTCCCATGAAAGCAAATCAAATAAACTGTGCAAGAAAAAAACTTTCGTTTAATTAGAAACTCTTCTATTGCTCGAAGTGTTTGCATGCAGTACCAGCAGAGTTGAGTACTATCTACCCACAAGGCATCAGCAGCACGTATGACTGGCATGGCAGCTGGAAATGAGAAGGAATGATGACAAACAGATGGACAGACTGGAGCAACTGCTAGCGTCCTTCAGATGCCGAGTCCTTCAGATGCCTGTAGACTCTGTGCTCACTGGAAATGAGGATTGTTTGCTTGTTTCTCATAGTAATATCCAAACATCGCTTACTTCTGTTATGATGGCTACAAAATCAGTTCATGCTTTATTTACAAACAGCTAGACTGTTTGTGGATCCCCTGGGTTTCCACAATGTATCATCCAAAACAATTAATCTATGCACTGCCCATAGGAAAGCATTTGGTTTGGGCCACTGAAAACAGGATGAGACAGGTCACACCACAAGCTCCCCACAGAAAAAAAGCTTTGATAAAAAGTTTTTTTTTGGTGCAATAGTTGACTCTGGCTGGAAGCTTTGCAGTGGAAACAAGGCAGACACCACGCAAATGATGTCCTCCGGACTGAGCACCAAGCAAGCTATATTGCTCCTCTAAGCAGATCTGCAAAATCGTCCAATGCGCACACTGTTCATAACTACCCTCACAAAACTACCATCTCCACTACCCTAACTGAATGAAGAGCTTATATGAATATGCTCTAATAAGAGCAAGAGTTGAGCTCACAAGACTAACCCATATCACCAAGAATTACTTGTCTGTCCGAAGAAGGGCAACAAAGCTGGTGAGGTGTCCCGAGAACAAGTTTTATGAAGAGCAGCTGAGGGAACTGAGGTTGTTCAGCCCGGAGAAAACAGGGCTCAGGGAAACCTTATCACTCTCTACAACTACCTGAAAGGAGTAAGCAACAAGCAACAGGACACGAAGAAATGGCATCAGGCTGCTGCAGGGGAGGCTTAGATTGGGTATTAGGAAAAATATCTTAATGGAAAAGTTGTCAAGGACTGGGAGAGGCTTCCTAGGGAAGTGGCTGAGTCACCATCCCTGAAAGTATTTAAAAGACATGTAGATGTGGTGCTTAGGGACATGGTTTAGTGGTGGATCTGGCAGTGTTAGGTTGGTGGTTGGACTTGATGATCTCAAAGGTCTCTTCCAACCTAAATGATGCCATGATTCAACGATTAAACAAATAGTGCTCTGCATGTTTTTCAGAGTGACCAGGTCTCTGTCAGGAAGACAAATCTGCTTTGTTATCTGTGAAATACACTGTGAACCACAAGGTGACCGAATTCTGTCAGAGCTCTGTGGTCCCACCTGTGGCCTGATCCTGACAGATTAGTCTTTAATGGTAGCACTCAAAAATCCCTTTGACTTTCAGAATGGGCCCTCAAATCAAGACCAAATCTATCTTTTCTGTTCAGTGGTGCACCCTGCTTGACAAGCAACACTGTAAAACTAAGATGGCACTAACCAATTGCGGGAATCCTTTTTGCTTCTCCTCACTAGAAGAGCTAGCACCTGTATCTGCATGAAGTGTGATCTGGCTAGTCAGCTGCCTGTTCATTTTCTTCATACAGGAAAACAGGGCCTGAATGAGCATGACAGATCAACATGGCTGGGGGCATAAAATTTGCCCTCCGGTCCTGAAGAATGTATTAAATATCATTACTAATGGTAAAGTAAGGAAATCAATTGTGGCAGGCCAAACACAATTCTGCCACACACATGGCTCAGTACTCTTCTGCTCAAACCATGAAAAATACTGGGCTGAGTTTGCATGTCTATTTATGATGGTACTGACATACACAGGGATAGCAAAAGAGAGGCTGTCTGAATGTACCACATAGTTGGAGTTTCCGTAAATGCAGAAGTATAAAACTTGCCTATTCTCCTCATTCTCTGTTTACAGCTAATCTGTGCCATGTGGAACTGACACTGCCAGAGAGAAAATCTGAAAGCTGCAGAGGAAGATTTGGAAGACCATTTTAAGATGTGACACGTCTACCTAGCAAAATGCTTGAATCACATCCCTCTCCTTCTCTGTGAGGAGGTCCCACATCTTTTCATAGGTCTCCATGGACACTCAGAGCTAGGCACAGTGACACCACCTCATTTGCAGGTGCTCTTGGACATGCTAAAGCTTTACGTCAGGGCCACACTGGGTACTGAATACAATGCAGGCAGTTTCCTTTTCTGTCCACATAGACCCATGTGTACAGTGATAAGGCTTCTCGTGTAACAGATATGCCATTATGAAAGGATCTCAGCCCTCCCAAATTCCTTGTGCTATGACCATCTCAAAGAAAATATAACACATGGCACAAACTGGCATCTCCAGTGTCACCCAGGGAATCTCTGACAGACCTAAACTCCAGATTTAGCTCTTTTCAAACAAAACAGATCTAATTCTCTAACTCTTCAGAGATCCAACTCAGGAAAAGCCAGCCCAGTACTTCTGGGTTACAAGTACACAGGTCAGGAGGACAGCACAGAAAGGAAACATAGTTGTATTATTCAGACATGAATTGATCAGGTTCATAATCACAGACTGATAAAAAAGGACGCTAAGACACAGCCACCTGCAGAACACCACACCTCTTCTGTTCTTCCCCCAAAATTATCATGTATTACTATTAGAAATAGACACTGGAGAACTGAAGCATGCTGTTCTTCAACCATAGTGAAAGAACACCCAACCCAAAAATCACATCAACTAAAAAAGCGCTTGTTTTGGTTTGGAGTCGTCAGGGAATGGTAATTTGTCTAGAAACAAGCTGTCAGCTGGTCCCTCCTCTCTAATTCACCAAGCAGAATAATGCAATGTTTTTTATGGTTTTGGCTCTTATGCCTTTAATTTTCTCACGTGTTTCACTGCAGTAAATTCACTTGGCTTACCTACAACATCCTTAAAAATACAGTTAGGGATTATATACATACGTTCCTCACAGAGACGACCCATCCAGCCATCTGGACACGAGCAGGCATTTGGCCGCTCACAGATGCCACCATTCTGACATGGGAACCGACAGACAGCTGAAAAAAATAAGATTTTGTTACAAACTCTACGCAGTTCATTAGAAGCTTAGTAATTCAACATCTTGCACAGACTTTTGCAGCTGTAAAGTTCAGAGCAGAACAAACAAATGCAGTGATGTTCAGAAACAGGACTTTGATTTCAAGGGCTACATAGTTTTCTGGCACTATGTGTCTGACTAGGTACTGTGAGCAAGAACATGGGAACTGTTAAGACAATTAAAAATTGTCCGTGACAAAAGGAAAACTTAGATGTTTTTAGTGCAGTTGGGTAAATTATTTGGTCAATGTTTCAAGGCTGACACTATGCTTTATCTGCCTTAATTAGTATTTTTTATTTTTTTGTAAACAAAAAACCCTTTTAAATTAACTCTAAAATAAAATCAAACTTTCTTCTAACCTTGGTATGAAACACCAAGATGATGCCATCTGGCATAATACAGGATTTGTTGAAAGTAAGATTACATATTCTGGTAGAACAAGTGATTTTTATTGTACTGTCATCTAGCACAAGGAGGAACCCAACAAGCATGTGGCAGTCGCGCAGTGAAGTGTTTACCAGAACCAAAAGTGTGATGATAAACCTCACTCAGCAGTTATTCTGACTGGTGCTCCTCGGCTCGCACACCTCTTAGTAAGCACTTGATCATAAAAGTGAGGAATTTGAAAGGGACTCTATCATGCTAATCCAATACATTGCCTGGACAGCCTTCAGACTTCATTTTTGTTTCTCTGACATTGCATCATATCTTGGCTAACACATCCAGGGAAACCAGGCGTACTTTACAGTTCAGGTGGCAACTAAGTACAACAATATTAGACAGAAAGACCATTGGAGGAAGTACAACCCTTGTCATGTTGGTGTAAATATTCTACACAGAAGATCAAAAATTGTGGCTTCAAAAAAATACTAGAGAACAAATAAGTAATCACACTAACTTCTAATTATTCATAATTATGAACACATAGTAACCTCAGGAAACTCAGTCTGAATTGTTAATTGCATCCTATCTTTAATTAGTTACCAGGCGAGCAAAATCCAAGGCTTTGAGTGTTTCAGATCTTGTTCAATGTTAGTATTAAATACAAACAGTGGTTTAACACACTCAAACACTGTTCAGACCTGAGCTCCACATTGGAAAGAATGCAAATCTTCCCCTGATAGAGCCAAACTTGAGTCACTCTTGCAGCTAAGTCATGTCAAGCCGCAAGCTACAGCTTGGAGTCTCCTGAAATCAGGCCAAAGCTTTTGCCATTTTAAATTTCAGTCTCAACAGCCCTCCCATCAAATGTCAGCTGATAACGATAATGGGAAGAGACCTTAGGCCCCGGCAGGTTCACAGAAGTTGCAATATTTTAACAGGTATTTCGAACAATTTTTCTCGTGAAGATCTGTGACTACGCAGATAGCTTGTCTCGGGGTGTTTACTAAAGCAGAATAGTGTGCCAACTAGATTTCCTTTGCGTAATTAAAATTTATGAAATTTGAATAAAAAGCCATTTAAAGCTTTAGGTCATCCATACCCCTTAATGTGTAATGTGATAGTAGGTAAAAAGATTTGTGTAAAAATGATATCCCATGTTATATTCAAAGCCCATGAAAAATGGCCTCTGAAATGTATCTTCTCTGCCTCAGTCAATAGAGAGGACACAGATATTTCATGAGCTAAAGAAACTGCTCTGTATGGCAACTCTACTACACTCAGCAATCCAGGATTTCAGGCAGAGATATGCTTTTTCTGGATTTCTGCCCAGGCTCTGTTTGTGAAACCGAATGAGTAAGACAGTATCATTCCTAGGTGTGCACTTGTTATACACCAATTTAGGCAGGCAGAGACTCTGTGTCTGTAGCTGTAGGGATTATTCTTCACTCGACAGACAAAACTAAAGGTTCTTGTGAGAAGTTAAGCTGGGATCTCATTCTCTTTTTTCGCTATTGTAAAAGCTGGCAGGACAAATGCGGTTCTCATGTGCTGGGGAACAAACGGGAACCATTAACAGTGAATTAAGTCAGTGGTAGCAGATCTCACATCCATGGTGTCAGTCTTAATTTTTGCGATTCCGTTGTAAATCCATGCATAAGAATTATTTCCACAGGACACAAAAGCATTACACTGCTGCAAGATAAACACGGGCAAGAAGGGGAAAAATAATTTCTGATATCCGTTCTCAGCTTTGCCGAAAAAGCTTTCCTGTGATTGCAAGTGAACAATTTCCTCCATGCCTCAGCTGCACTTTCATAATGCTCTTGTTTGCTGACAGGGTACAAGCATTTTTGGTCACCAGCTCCACACTGACCTCTCCTAGTCAGCAAGATGTGGGCAGAGGGCAAAGAGACAACACAGAAGAGAGGAAAAAACTCGAGAGACAGACAAGCTCTGTGCATCTATGCAGCTTGCTGAGTCTTGCAGGTGTTTACAATCTGCAAATCCAGGTTAATACTTCTCACCTCTGAAACTCAGATCAGAATCTGTCCTGCAATTTCTAACCAGCACTGATTCAGGCTAGTGCAGCTGTGGTGACAGCTCTCCCAAAGAACCTAACGAAGTCTGCTTTTTAATTATAATATTTACGTTAACTAACCTGTTCAACTGGGCCAGAATGTTTCAAGCAGGCTTAGGACACAGTAATAATCAACTTGCAAAGCCAAAAACAAGAAATGCAGCATGAGTCATTGCAAAGAGTGCTTTCATGTTGCTTCTGATGTAGGCCACAAAGGCTTGGGTCCTGTAGGCCTTTTGTTAGGCAAATCCTTCAAATGAATTATAAAGCAGTTTTGAGAGATTATTTTGACATGTGTCATGAAAACACAGGTCTGTCCTCTCAGAAACATCTTTAGTCCTTTTTAATTTCCCTTTCAGGTGCAATGAGGGAGGGAATTGTTATTTCTCTCCCTTAATACACCAAAAGGCTGGTTGTTTTGCTTTGTTTTCCTGCACTACAGCCTGATCACTTGTCCACCTCATCACTTTGTTTTCTGAAAAAATTCTCCCTACTACTCACTGCTCTGAACACTCCTAGCAGACTCCATGGTGTTGCAAACAGGACACATATTTGACAGCGCTTTGCAACCACTGGCAAGAAGTTCTCTTAGCAGAAAACTACAGCCTTTGGCATAAAGAAGGGTTCTGTGTAACTAGTAAATACTAAATTAGAATAAAAAGTAAAGGCGGTGATATTAAAGGGACAGTTGAAGAATTTGAAGCGTTACAGTCTGAAAGATAATAGCCAATTAATGTTGCTAATGAATTGTAGCTTAGCTAGAGTAGCTATTACGCAGAGATCCCTTCAACTCTGTAGCCACCATAGTTTAGGAAGAAATTATGAGATACTTGGCAAACTTTTCATAAAGGGCTTGCTTGGTGCTTTGGGAGTGTAAATTTCTAAAGAGAGTTTTGGATACTGTACACCTGGTGCTTTAGCTGTAAATCTTCTCTACATGGCTACTTGAAATGTGATTCTCCATGGCAATGGCAAGCAATGGCCACATAATCAGAAGCTTGCATTTCAGGAGCAGCTTTTCGGTTCAGGAGTGTTCAGGAGTTACAAGCCTACCTCTTTGGTTCTGGGTCTTCCCAAAATCATCTACTGATCTGTGATTTTTATTCAAGACAATTGTAACTATCACATACAGAATTTTAAGAGTGCCTGCTTTCATAGAGTAGTGCAACTCAGCTTGTTTAGGTCTTAATGTTCATAACATTTTGCTGTCAGAATTCACATCAAAAAACTCACAAGGAGACTCTGATTATTCAGGATTAGCACAGTATACAATCCTCCATCTCCAAAGGATTTCTGACCTAAACAGAACATCACCAGGGAGTGAGCAAGTATTGTTGCTTCTGTTTTCCACATAGGGAGATGAGATGTGCAGAAGGAGAGGCAGATCTGACAACGTTTATAATGGCTCTAATACTCCCAGATTAGTGTCCTGGCCCTTTTCCTCTTTAAGGTGCTTTAAGGTTTTTTTGCTTTTAATACACTTCTAAACAAAACAGCTGAGGGTCAGTTTGTAGTATCGCTGCTGTTACACTACCTGAGATAAGACTTCTGGGTGCAGCTAACTCACTGCTCTGTAGCCACCTGGCTGCAGAAGGTTAGTCAATCTTCTGATATGGAAATGGCATATGGCAAAGCCTCCTCTACTGAGGGCCTGTGACCCTGGAACCCTTTTGCTATGCCTCATCCTTGGTTTTACATTAGTGTTTGAAGATGCTTGTATCTGGTTTCAGTTACTCCGTTTATCTTCTCTTCTGTTTTGTGTGGGTTTCTCCCATTTTTTGTTCAAAACTTTTTATATTTTTGAAACTTCTGTATGGAGGAGTTCCTTCTGTAATTCCAACAATTGAATTTTTTAGCTCAACAAACCAAAATTGGCATTTTCCTGCTGGTATGACTGGTTCTGTCACTTTCTCACAGAAGATGTGAGGAGAGAGGATCCTAGGTATGGCATACAGCGCTGTAGCAAAAGAAACTGTAAGTTTAGCAAGGACTACATAGAAAAACTGTGAAAGCTCTCTCTTTCACTTGGAAATGAAGTAACACCCTGCACTTTAAATGCCCTGAGTGAAACCATGACTACACTGAAACTAGAAAAAAAATCACTTTCATTTTTATTGCAGCTAGGATGACACCTCCATGCCTATGGCAAGTTACAATACTCTTCTGTTCATAAAAAAGACTAACCTTTGCAGGTAGGTGGTGTTGTCCAAGTTCCATTTTCTAAGCAAATGCTTCGTAGGGGTCCTTCCAGCATGTACCCACTGTAGCATGAATAGGTGATCATGTCTCCATACTGGTAGAAGCTACCACGAATCAGAGCATTTTCTGTGTGAGCTGGAGGGCCGCAAGATATCTCTAAAAAAACCAAATCATCCATAGACTGGTGAGCTGCCTATGTGACACCAGGTTTCTAACCTCAGACACAGTGCTTTGCATGAAGGACCTGGGAGGTGACAAAGAGACACCTCTGATGAGAAATCAGTAAGTAAGACTTCCTCATGGGGCAACACTCACAGAGACAGCCAGTATGTATACCCAGTTAGCAGGTGGATGGCCAGGAACACCAGTTTTAGGTAATGCAACAATGGCTGTATCTACTATATAGACCAGAAAATTTCAGATGGTCCCAGGATATACACGAGATTAGGTTTGCAGAGGTGATGTCATTGTTTGAACCAAACCATATTGTTTGCAGGAAGCCAAAGAACTTTCAGACATGCCTGCAAAACGACTCTATGCCTTCTGTCAGTCTCAATAAACACAATAAAAGGCAGCATCTCTCTCTTTGGCTCTCATCTCATCACCCATAATCTCAAAGGAATAGTCCTCAGGATATTTAAGGTATCCAACAATCAGTCCCAGCTCCAGTGTTTGTGAAAGGCAAACTTAAGAAGAAAATTATGGTAGGGCCTTGCAGACAGTAGGATGAATGCTCTTGGGGCATCAACCCACACAGACCTACTCTGTATCCTTTTAAAGAAACAACTCTGTTAGAAAGAAAGAAGAAACAGCTCTTCTGTAAGAGCTTCTTAGGTTGCTTTTATGTGTCTGGATCTCTCAGATTGACTCACTTCTCCAAATGGCGACAGCAGACAAAAGCTGTCTTCTTCTAGAATAACTGCATCTAGGTGAAAAGCACTGCTTACACATCTGTGTTGTCACACTTCTGTGTGATACAACTGTGGTCACCAACCCTCTGGAAAATACCAAGACCCTGCAGTACTGTACCTCATTTACTTACTTTCACACTTAGCTGTTGCTGGAGTCCATGTCTCATCAGCATTACAGGTGATCACAGACTGCCCTTTCAGCTGGTAGCCTTCCCTGCACCTGATGGATACATTCTGACCGACATAAAAATCCACCTCAGACAGAAGGGCATTCTCTGGGATTATGAAAGGCACAGGACAAGGGTTTGCTGTTCAGAAAAAAAGTGTGAAGGAAAAGGAGAAGGGAGGAAAAAGGGATGGAAGGAAGGAAGGGAATACTTGAGAATATTTTCTGCAAATTTCAAAATCAAATCATAAAGAAAAGCAATAAAAATGGATGCTGTACACAAGTTCGATTTGTAATTGGATGTAAAGTAATGAGATTTGGGTCATAAAATAATAAAAGGTCTGATTCTCTGCTGTCATATGGTTTGCTACCAAACTTTACTGATGCCAGCAGAAGCCATACTAAGGATTTAAGTGGAGAATATCCCACCTGTTACTATTAAATCGTTGTCTCTTGTCCTTCCTGTTTACCTTATCCTTACTAACAAAGAGAGACAGACCTATCCTACCTCTTGTTCTGAGGGGCCAAATCAACAAAGAGCTGCAAAAATGCAGGTGTTTGAGCAGAGACTTACTATAACATTCATTAATGTTCAGAACTTCTCTCATGATCTTGTTTATTGCTGTCTTTAAGCTTCCTGAGCTATTTTGCGTGGCCTATTGATCTCATCATGAATGTTTGAAAAGGTTGGACTCTGTATACAGCAGAGTCTGATACCAGTTTCCTGAAACTAGAATCCTGTAATACAAATATTAAGTGTCTCAATTAACCACTCTACAGTACATTTTAAAATTAGTTAAGACACATACAGCAACAAGGAAGGCTATTGTGGTTGTCTGCCCACACATGTGTAAGGTGCTATTTCACAGAATTACAGAATAATTTATACAACCATTAAGTCCAAGCTCCTTCTCAAAGCAGAGCCAGCTAGGTTAGAGGTTGCTCTGGTACATGAGCAGCTGAAATCTGAATGTATATCCAAGGACTGAGAGTGCAGGTGCTCTCTGGGTCCCTGTTCCTGTGTTTGACTGCTATGTTGGAGAAAAGTTTCTTCAAATACTTAAGTGGAGTTTATTGTGTTGCAACTTCTGTCCATTTGCCTCTCTTTCTACTCCTGTGGACCTCTGAAAAGTCTGCCTCTTTTTTCTTTACATTCTCAGAAGTCAGCGGCAGACAATAATGAAGTCTCCATTTTGCCTTATCCTCCAAAATTTTGTTACCTGTTCCTCATATATCAAACGGTTGACTACAATTGACTCCATTTTATGTCAGCTTTCCAACTAACAGAAGCTATGCAGACCATAGTTCATTCTTTTGCTGTCACAAGTTAGTACTTTAATATGTCTCAATAAACCGCTCCCTTTGTTCCTCTGTAAAAATAGGATGCACATCAACAAATCTCTCAACATAGGCCAAAACAATTTTTTAAACAAGTGACAAATCTTGCTCATGACCACTCCAGAAGAAAATGGCAGTAAATTTCCACAAAGATCTGCAGAAATGTTTCATTTACTGTCAGTTTAGATGAAGCGTAGCCTAGCCTATAGAGCTTAAAAACTGAGTCCACTATTTCATTACAAAGCAAACACACACGTTTACAGAGAGGCAAGGGATTACTCCATCTTCCATCTCTTGTGCACTCTGCTGCAGGTTCCCCTTCCAAGCTGTACCCCCTCTCGCAGAAATACGCTATTGTACTGCCAACTGTATTGTTTTCATAAATCGCCTTCCCATTCAGCAAAGAAACTGGAACTTTGCATCTGGTCTCTGCAAAGGAAGAAATCTCATTAATTCAGCTTGATAATAAATTCAGCTTGATACTAAACCTGGACTTCCAACAATTCCTGAATCACTCACACAATATGTTTAAAGTAGCAGCCACAGACAAACAAATTGTGAAGAGCGCTGACGGACAGTTCAGTATCTCTGGGAAGGAAATGTAGCCAAGCTGGAGAAGGAGCTCCTCCCAGTGATGTAGAAAAGCCACAGACGTGTTTTTCAGGCCAGCAAAATGCAGCAGTGCAGGGGAGGAGAGGACACATTTATAACTTCATACTGGATCCATGAAGCAAAACATGGAAATGGTTATTTCTTGCCACTGAGAGATACCACAGAAACATGCATCCCTTTGTACCCTCCTTTTCACCTGTCAAGAAATGCAGGTGAGATGAGATGCAGGATGGGTTTGGTGCAAGATGCTAACACTTAACTAAGTGTCCCCCTCAAAATTCTCATTTGTGTTTCTGAAGCCAGAAGCCAGATAGTCCAAGATGGGTTACCACGGCTACACAAGTGACTCTATTCTGTGCCCCATTTTTCATTTGTTTTTCCCAGGTGGCCTGTGTAAGGGGATGAATGCAAATTAAACTATCAGACAGACACAAGGCCATCAGGCAAGAGGCAGAGAGGAGCTGGTGAAGCAGCCATGCTAAAGTTTGTTCAAGATGGCCTTCTTCTGTTCAGCACTGCTACTGCGTGACTTTTCTTAGCTGCCTGGCTACGTACTACAGACTTCCTCTCTTACGTGGATTTCCTCTACCAACTTTTCAGGCTGCTACTATGCAGTCTGCAAAGCATTAGGGCACTGTAGCGCACAGTGATCTGTGCATTCTGTGGCTGCCCAGCACTGCATCTGATGGTCCTTAGCCCTCATGCAGTTTTCATGGCTTTGGTGACAGGAACCTAACATCTGCCTTGAGTAGAAGACCATTATCTGTCTTACTTCAGTGAAGCTGTCAGAGCACGCAGGTCCCTTGTGCATCTGCGTGTGCAGCTGGGTGTGCGGACATCAACATGTCAGCTCCAGGTAAGAATGGCAGGAGCAGCTATGAAAAGCAAGGAGGATACTGGGTCTAGAGTCTAGTTTGGGAGACCTGAGGAGAGTGGAGGTTAAGGGTTGAGCTGTCAAGATTGTCTTTGGGGCCCAAAGTTCAGAAAAAGATAATCAACTTAATAATTGACTACAGAAGTCTGCTGGGAGAAAAGTCACTTATCCTTGCAGTCCATCACCTTTTGTTAGGGGTTTGATTTTCTTGGATGGCAAGTAACCTCATCTCTCATCAAGCTTGTTAAAGTGCAGATTAAAACCTCAGGAAAATTTTTTTTTAAGCTTTTTCTTGGTAACAGGCAGTGCTCTTTGTGACACACTTCATTTTTCTGGCACTATTTTTCATCATAGAATTGTTTAGGTTGGAAAAGACATTTATGATCATTGAATCCAACCATTAAATACACATTACAGAACTGTTTCCCAAAAGCAGCTCAATCCCAGGATCATACGATATGCAAGCATAAGGAAGGAGCTATTTCTTGAGCTATTTCTTATTCCAATCGGAACATGTCAAGCTATAAAACTGAACAGTTACCTTCACACAACGGCAAAGGTTTACTCCAGCTCCCATTGGCAAGACACGTGATATTCTGGGGCCCAACAAGATGGTATCCAGAGATGCACACAAAAGTTACATTACTTCTGTATGTGTTGAAATGGCCTCTGCTTTTTCTATGGAGGGATGCAATCCACAAGTAATTCCTAGGAGAGGAAAAAGCTTTTTTGGTTTTATGCAGACAATGAAGGACATTCTGCCTATCTGTTACACACTGACAGCTCTGTTCACACACTGAATTAATGGAAAGAGAGGAAGAAAGCAACTGTGAGGTATTATGTGGAGAAGAGTTACACAATGCCTTGCCTGCCTTCTCTGTCTGAGTGCAAGCTGCAAACAATGTATCTGATGGGGCTGTAAACTACCAGGGGTGTTCAGAGCGATCCAGAACACTTCTGAGTGTGCCAGAGGCTGCATTTGCAGTCTCCTTTGCTTCCTATACAGTGGAAAGTGATCTCAGGATGTTCCCAAGAAAAACGATCATAGTTAGAAAGGGTCTTGCCTCCTATCCTACACTTACTGCGGAGACCAGGCAAATTGGTCAAAGGTGAGAGACAAATGCAAGGGGTAGGACTATGATGTCACCATGAGAACAAGGGATACAAAATCTTGGCATTTTATTTATAAGCAGTACAAAATAAGTCATACATCCTTCTTTCCATGCTCCCACAATTAATCATCTTCTGCTGCACAGAAAGCAAAGATTTGATCCTAGGAAGAAGAGTCTTGATCTCCAGACATACAGAGTGGTCAGCACATATTAGCCTTGCCACTGTAGAGAAGAACCATCCCATCACATGATGTTCAAAGAGCTGCACACTACAATACAAGGCAAACCAAATACAGCAGGCCACACTCCACCCCTACTGACCCAAGCCCAACTCTATGCTTGTGCCATTTTAATGTGCCAAAAGGAGCTCCCTTCACATCAGAGAAGAACTGCCAGTGAGAACTTATCTGCTAGCTTTTCCTCTGGCTCCTTCTGTTACAGCTCTCCAACTGGAGCAGAGACTGGAAGCAAGCCAGCAAAAGCATTCCCTTGGTTTGTTCCAGGGCTCCCCTGGAAAACTGCCACCATTTGCTCTGCTTGCTACTTACGTGTGCACAAAGGGGCGGAGGGGCTCCACTTTTTGTCAACGTGGCAAATCCTCCGGCTTGGTCCCTGTAGCTCAAAGCCAGGGTCACAGCTGTAAAACACCTCACTGCCAAACAGGAACTCTTCTCCCTGGACAGATCCATTTTCTATCATGTCTGGGGGTCCACATGATACTCCTGTAACATAAGGAAAATGTTCCAGTCAGACATAATGCATATGGCCTGTCCTGTTCACAGATGCTCCAGTGGTTTTACTCTGAGAAACAGGGAAAGAACACAGCATTATCTGGGCATTCCCAGATATTTGCTGCTGAATACAAGAACAGTATCATGCCTGGTGCTTCCAGCTCCTGCTAAAAGACAAAATCTATTGTTTGTGCTGGCAGGAAGCCTCAGGAAATTCCACTGCTGCCCCTTACAGCCAATGGCTGAAGTCCACGTAAGTATTTATGTAGACAACTCTTATTTTGGCGCTCCAGTTAGTAAGCATTAGACACCTCACAGAAGTGAAGTACCTTTGAGAACAAGTATCCATAGAGTTACATTTGAGCATGCTAAATGCTTGTGACTTCTGGAAACTATAAAGTGTCAGAGGTCCTCAGTTACCCCAGAAATCATGACCTCAAGTGTCACAACTACTTAAACTTGGAAGCTGTCTGCACAGCTTTGTTAGGGATACAGGAGCAAGGCAGAAAGGTGTAGTGGTTTTCTTCACACTATTACCTGCACACATCAGCAATTCTGCAACTCCTGAGGGCTGCTGTCTGCGGTACTTACCAAAATTTTCAAGAAAAAGAAGATAGTATGAGTTATAAACCAAAATGAGCATGATTTCTGTTGTGTAAAATCATCCTTGACCAACACTAAGTGATAAACTCAGGTAGAACGTACTTCTGCACACCGGCATTGTGCCACTCCAAAGCTTGTTTTCTTGGCAAGTCCGTTCTGCATCACCCTGTGAAACAGAAGAAAATGCTCAAAGAATAACTTTAGTCAACTCTTTTCTCCCATCAACTCCAGTATCCAGCAAGGCCAGGATGTTTTCCCTTCATGTGCATCCCCTGTAAGGAGATAATTAAATACTACGTCCCCAATCTACTAGCAGAGTTTAGGGTAAAACTCCTTCCTGCAAAGTGACAGGTGTTTATAAACCAAAAGTTTGTGGGGTCAGCTAGTCAGTTCTCTTGTCCTTCTATCTGGTGTATAATCTTTCTTGTCAGTTTTACCACTCTTCTTCCCAGGAATGCATTAAGATGACAAATTTTCTCCTTCCAGGACCCATTTACAGAAAATTTAACTAGCATTTTTTTCAGCAACAGTATAAGCTAGTGTTTTACAAATGTAATGTACTGATTTTGACCACATCCCAAACACTCATTCTTTAAATTTCCTTATAAATAATGTTCTTTCTTTCTTATGTACAGGCTTTATAGCCAGACTAATAGCCTAGGATTTATTTCTTACTTTACTCCAAGGCAGAGAGAACAACTAAATTTGTTCCTTGAAGCAGTATACTCTCATTACAAAGCAAAGGGACAGACAATGGCAGCCGCTTGATGTGAGTGCTGTATGGCATCACACTCTATAGACTTTGCTTCCCATAGCAAAATCAGCAGGATTTCTTTTCAACAGCAAGGAGAGAGGCTGACGCTAGGTGGCAAAGCTGGGATACAAAGCTTGGAAGGACTTTTTAATGTATGAAAGCATTGCCTTATTACCTCCAAAATTACTTGAAACAGTAATTGTGTCTATCTGTCTACATACCAACCCACATCTCCATTCCCAGTGATAACTACGACAATACAATGCAAAATGAACTTATCGTTACCTAAGCATTCTCTAAACCCATCTTATTTTTATTCTGAGTGAGTGACTTCACTGGTGAATTCATATGCATGAAGTTCTTAAGTTACTATTGGCGTTAGGCCAGTCCAAAGGAAGCACAGGCAGCCATGCTGCTTGGTACTTAAAAAACACAGTGTTAAGAGCCAGCCTCTGTCCTGGGGAGACCTCACCACCTCATGCTTCTGGATGCAGCTCTGCCCTACTCTGCCATCACCTGGGGGTGGTGGAAGCCATGCGCCTCAGCAACATACACACCAGAGGCAGCTCTGAAGTGTTTTGACAATTGGACAGCAGTGCTGCTCCAAAGCTCAGGCAGGGATCAGAGCCCAATGCTCGTAACAAAGAAAATGGACAAGAAAGAACTTTGTTCCCTTCTTCAGGGAATAAAGCTGCCATTGAACCAAATGGAATCTCACTGCCTTACTAAAACAAGAGAGATCACTTTCATATCATCTAGCAATGTCATAGAACTGAGGGCACTGGCATTTATCAGAAGCTTTGAGTCTGAAAAGCTCAATGCAGCAGACATAAGGCTTGGGACATTATGGAATTGAAGGAAGAATGCAGTCTACCTCTGGCCAGAGAGCCAGTTCAAGGAAGTGATACATAAGAAATTAACTCTTTCATGATTTATGGTCACATTCATCTATAATGCTGTATTCTATGATTCTATAATTTGCAGAGTGCCGAAACAACTTTCTGTTAAAAAAAACTCTGAACACTGAAATGTATCTGTTGAATATATATATCTGAACAGGATGCTTATATTTGCTTTAAATATACCCTTAATTCACTCTAGGACTATCCTAGACATACCAGGAGCATTTTACAAACACTAACAACCACAGCAGATATCCAGTTTCTCTGGCAGTCGAAGGAATATATCAGTATGGACCAGATGTAATACATTCTCACAGTTATCACATAAGAACTGAAAATGACAACTAAAGGTTTAGAGTGCTTGAGATTTCAGCTTGCTTACTTGTAGTTCATAGCCAGAACCACATTTATAAAGAACCACGTCTTTGTAATTGTATTTAGTGCCAACCACAAATCCATCTTCTGGAGACTCTGGGGTCCCACAGGACACAGGAACGCAGATGTCATCAGAAAATGTTGGTATCCAAATGCCACTCTCCTGAAAAATAAATGTAATTAAAAGAATGAAGGCATCACTTTATATGCATATTTTGTATCTAAATGAAAAAAGTTAGGAAAATCATAGTAGAAACATCCCATGGCTGTGGATGTATAGATGTGGTTTATGTAATATTATCTGTGCAATCCTTAATAAAACTCAGTATACTTATGTCAACATAGACTGGAGCTCAGCTTTGGCAGGTATGTTCAGCTTCGACTTCCAAGACAGAAGGAACAAAATAAAAGGGGAAATAAAAGCTTGAAAAAGCACGTTCACTCATACAAGGTCACCTAATAGCTCAGGAGAAGAATGCAAACTACAGCTGCCTGATTCCATACTTTTCTCCTGGATCAATGTCTAACCCCATGGCTACATTCTTCAGTTGCCTTCTCTAAGGGAAGAATGATATCTGAAGAGACACTCATCAAACACACCTACTCCTACTTCCATAGATCTTTGAAATAGTAAAATAAGGGGAAAACCTTTCCTTATGAAGTACTGAATCTGCAAAACCATGCATGCTCAGCTTTTCTCATATGAGAAGACTTCCTTACTTTAAAGAGTCTATTTAAAAGCTTAAGTCAAGGTTGTCCACATTTAATGCAATAGGAGGCTACTAGCAGAATTGATGTTTGGTCTTTAACATATAGAGGATTCAAGTTTCTACACCTGCACGGCAAATTAAAATGTGTGATGCCTATTACTCTGCAGAAAAAAAGCTCTGTACACAATCCTCAAAATACGTTAGAAGTCTTGGACACAATTGTTTTAAAATCTTGCATTTGATTTATTCCCTGAAATGTGGTAAAAGGAATGTTTTTCCAAAGGATGTTATTTTTTGATGGAAGAAGAAATCAATAATTTCTAGTTCTGAAAGCCTACACATAGAAAAATAACAATTGCTCTTACTGGCTAACAAGGAAGCACACTGTGTTTTGCAGCACATGCTTTTATTTTTTCTGTTGTGTGCAATTAACAACCAAAAGCTAATGAAGGCATGAGGAGGACTCTTGAATTCAACAAAGCTGGAAAAATAAAACAGTGGAAATAACACCATACCTTGCATGTAGACATGCTTGCGCCCACCAAAGTGTAGCCTTTTACACACGATAAAGTTATGTTTGTGTTCACAGTGAAGTTGTCCCCAAGTACGATTACATTGGTGATATTTCCTGGGAGGGGACACTTTCTGGGGCAACAGGAAATGCCTTGAGGAGACCAGTGTCCGTCTTCCTGGCAAATGCATACATCCACCTCTGTCACCATTGTGTAGCCCTCCAGGCATCTGCAACACAGCATTAAAAACTGACCACAGAGATACAGGTAGGGATGAGCTAAGCTACCAACTACAAAGTTAGACCCTAGTTTTTCAGCATTACTTGCTCACAAGCACACCCTGGGATTTCTCTGTGATTTCAAGGTAATCCTGTAAGACCCCAGATTGTTGCAAGAGCTGAACGCTTCAGACATCATCTCAAGCTGCCTCATGCTACTGCACCACCATAATGGAAAATGAGTGGGTGGGTACTGAATGATTTACTGCAGTTCCTGCACTACCCTTTGCTCTGCAAGGAGGGCTTTTGGCTAGGTAAACAGGGAGTGAGCACCAAGCAATTCTAAAGATGATCTCACTTTCTTCCAAGAACAAAGCAAAGCTTAGGCTGACTACTGGCCATTTGCTTAGACACTTAAGGCTGATTTGTTCTGTTCCATGTGATGCTTTACTAAGAGAACTCACCTGGCTTGTGCAAGTATGTTCACTTGCAGAAAGGTAGAAAACAAGCACCTCCTCCACCTTGCTAGAGAAGCATGAAAATGACTGATACCACTAAATACATCCAGATGCCACCTTCCAATTCTGTCCCATACTATCATTTGCTTTTACTGCCAAAAAAAGTCTCTCCTTCTGCCAAGGAATTCCTCCCCTTGGCGAAAAAAATCCACACACTGTAGGAAATTAACAAACCTGATTTCTCATATCTGACAATGGAGTAACTTTGCATCAGCAATACTTACTGACTGGACAATGTTGCAGCACAGAAATGGGCTGAGATCAGCCCTTCTGTATTACAACAGGCACCTTAAGCTGAAGATGTAAATGGGTGCCAAAAGGGGAGAAACAGTGGCACACCCTCTTGACTTCTGCTGCCACCTTCTAAGAAAGCTTCAATGTCCAGACTAGTGTTTCAGAGGAGGAGAAAAGGAACATAAAGGAGAGTGGGAAACTAAAGGTGGTGGAGGAGTACAGCCCAACAGGCTGAAATACCTTGCTGGAGTTCTGTCTGTGGTCTGAACAATATTTTGAGTAAGCATGTGGGAACATGGTTTGTCATTGTGAGCATGTGACAGGACACAACCTCTCTTCTGGGTCTTTTAAAAACTTACACTAACTGTGGGTGTAAAAACCTTCCATCTTCATTCTTTCAGAGTTTTAACATAAACAGAATGGCAGCAGCATTCTTACCTGTACTGGACCTTGCTACCATACGTGTAAGTGTTCCCAAGAACCTCTGCATTTGGGACAGAAGGTGGTGGGCCACAGCTTAACAGCTCACAACTTGGATATGGCTTCTTCCAGAAACCAGTCTCCACACACGTCAGTTCCGGACTCCCCCGCATGACATAACCTGTCAAGCAGGTATAGATGATGGTGTTCTCATCTGCAGAACTGCTCCCATTGATAAATGTGTTAGGGATGATGGGTGGAGAGCCACAGGAAATCTGCCCACAGCGAGGAAACCCAGAACTCCACTTGCCAGCTGCCTCACAGGTGACTTCAGAAGGCCCAAGCAGCTTGAAGCCCTCCAGGCACTGAAACTGGGCACTGTTTCCACAGCTGAAATCTGTACCAAGAACAACTCCATTCTGAATCTGTGGTCTAGGACACAGACAGGGTAGGCAAGATGGAAGGCTTCCACTCCAGGAGCCATTGGACAAACATTGCCGTAAAGGATTGCCATGCAGCTCATACCCAGGGAAACACACGTACTGGGAAAACTCTCCATAGGTAAAGCCTGAGCCATTCAGAAAGCCATGGGAGATGTCTTCAGGAGGTCCACAAACGACTGGCTCACAGTGTGGAGCTTCTGAATCCCAGGTACCATCACTCTGACAGGTAAGTGTAGACACTCCTTGCAGGCTATACCCTTCGTTGCAGTGATAGTGTACTTCCTTCTTAAAGCCAAAATCTGAGCCACTAGTTGTCCCATTGGGAAGAGGCAGTGGCACAGGGCAGGTCACGGCTTTGCAAACTGGAGCGATTCCACTCCAGCTTCCATTTGCAAGGCAGACTCTACTCCTGTTCCCATCTAACAGGAAGCCTTCATTGCAGCTGTACTCTGTACGTTTCTGGAATGTGTACTCCTCTCCAGCCACCTGACCATTCTCCAAAACTGGTGGTGGGCTGCAGGAAACAGGAATGCAAATTGGTTCACTGCCATCCCATTTCTGGTTCTCTTGGCATCTCCTCTGTGTGGGGCCATTTAACTGGTATCCAGGATCACACTCATAGTAGACAACACTTCCATATGTGTAGTTTTCCGCTCTTATGTTCCCATTCATAAGCTGGGTAGGCGAGCTGCACGTTATTGCTTCGCAGTATGGAGCAGTGTTACTCCACTGCCGACTTGGCAAACACAGTCGTGTGCTGGAGCCAATAAGTGTGAACCCTGGCTTACAGGTGTACTGCACCATGCTACCGAGTGTGTTCTCAGTGAAATGTATAAAGCCGTTCTCTGGGGGTGACAGCAAGGTGCACTCTATCGAAATGCAGGTGGGGGCAGTGCCATTCCAAGCCCCATCTTCCTGGCAAGCTAGAACAGGGTTTCCAAGCAGCTCATAGCCAGAGTAACATGTGTATAAAATGATAGTTCCAAATAGGAAAGTGGTGAGCTGCATTGCATTGTCCTCTCTCAGGGAACTTTTCAAGTCTTTCAAACTGTCAGCCAGTAGCGTATGTGAAACTGAGGGATTCTCTGTAACACTCTCCTGGTCAGAACGTTTTTCCCCCTGTCTCACCTGCATGTACTCCCCAAAGTCAATGTGAGGAGGCAGGCCACAGTCCGTGGGGAGGCAGGTTGGCGTGGAGCTAGACCAGCCCGATTCTTCACAGGTCTGCATGGCAAGGCCGGACAGCTGGAAGCCTGGTACACAGCTGTAAATTACCATGGCTCCATAGCTATAATCTGCACCCTCCACAAAGCCATTCTCGATGGGCTGAGGGGGTGGGCAATTTATAGCTTTGCAGGAGGGAACCTCTGTACTCCACTCTCCTGTCTCTAGGCATCTCAGTGTTTCCTCCCCTTGGAGCTGGAAACCTCTGTCACAGGAATACCTAACAGTCTGCCCATAATGAAAGTTTGTGAATGAGTATTTGCCATTGAGGATCTTCTTAGGCCTTGGGCATTGAATAGGTTTGCAAGCCGGCCTTCCTCCAAGCCACTGGCCATCTTCTCCACAAAGGATAGTTGTATTCCCTACCAGTTCAAAGCCTGGTTTACATGTATAGAGCGCTGTGCTAAGGAAGGTGAGGCCCTGCACATCAACAATGCCATTCTGAATTTCTTCTGGTTGGGGGCACTCCACTGGAATACATTCTGGTAAAGGCAAGCTCCATAAGCCATCAGCCTGGCATCTGATGGTAGACTCACCCTTCAGTAAAAATCCATCCACACAGATATATTTCACAGTACTGCCAAAATGAAGGGATGAAGTCAAGGGGTCACCAAAGGGGATGTACGGAGGTGCAGGACACTGCACAACTTTGCAGAAGGGGAAGGAATCATTCCACTGTTGGGAAGGCAAGCATTTCAGTACAGAGGAGCCATGCAAAACATAACCTTCTTTGCAGGAAAACTGTACAACACCGACTTGGTAAGCCATTTCCCTCAAGACAAGCTGGTTTTCTGCCAAGGGTGGTTCTGGACATTTTGTTGGCACACACTTGGGGCTTTGTTTTTTATTCCATTTCCCAGACTTTTGACATGTCCAAGAAATGTCTCCAATCAGCTCATAGCCTTCATCACAGAAGAATTCAACTTTGGAGCCCATGTCAAACATTTCTCCCTTGGAGTAGCCATGCTGGATGGGTGGTGGTTTTCCACAGCTGAGGGGAACACAGGAAGGAGGTGATTCACTGTACCATTGTCGATTGGCTTGGCAGATAAACACTGAGCTCCCAACCATCTGGTAGCCAGACTCACACTGATAATTTGCCTGATTCTCAAAGAAGCGTCCAGTTGTTCCCTGCAAAACAGGTAAGATGGGGACATGTCTGAAATGAAGATGCATGACTGAGGCAAAAGCAGGCTGATTTTAATTTCTTATGTTGTCTTGGTCTAGCTTCTAGGTGAATTCCGGACAGCAGTAAAGGCTGTCTGCAAAGGAATGCATGCAAATAACTGACACAGAATGTCTTGCCTCAAATAATACACTCTGCTGTCAGGAAATCTGAGAGCATTATCAAAAGAAAACAGAAAATTCAAGGCTTAAAAGGTAAAAGCTAGAAAGTATTTCCTCTGCTTCCCCCTTTCCTGGCCTATGAGGCCAAAAGATAGGTAGACAGACAGAAAAAAAGTGGGTCAGGGGAAGATGCCATGAAATTGCCTATTGTTACGATTCTTTACCTTACAGGTGTATTCAAGGCTGGAGCCCTCTGATGTACTACTACTACTACTACTAGGAGACATTTATAAGTGCCACAGATGCAGCTGCAGGATCTTGAGCAGACAACTGAGGGGCAAAGCTGCAGGACTCCACTGAGGTATTAAAAAATGTCTCTAACTGCAAGAAATGTCTGCAGGGGCAAGTAGTGATCCTTCCTAAGGAAGACACTACAGAGTGATACGCATTAATCACAGGATCTACCTGTGTGGAAGTCTGATGAGAAATTGTTGCTATTACTGCTGGAGATCCATGCAGGAACTGAGATGCAACACACTCACCCTTCCTTTAATTTTAGAAAATGCAGATTCCCTAGTGGCTAGACTTAAAGAAGGAGGGAGGATGTTCAAAGGAAAAATACTTTGAAAATTCAAATTTAAATCTTTACCATAGTGTTTTTTGATCTTCTTTACCACAATATTACCCTTGTGCCTCTAAGCACTACATGAGTTAAGTAGTTATTAAAGGTTTGGGCTGCCACAAGGAGATTTTTAACTTCTGGCATTGTGGCAATGTAACTTGACAAGGAGCAGAAAGTTCTGACACGTCATTAAAGAAGTGTGCTTGCATCAAAAGGAGAGAAATTATCCCAAGGTGATTTATCTATTGCATATCAGATTCTTTTCACAGCAGTGAAAAAAGCAAGGCGACAGTACTTCAAATGTCTCCATATGGTGCTGAAAAGCCATCCATGGACCAAACAAACTAGGAGTAAGACAGTGAAGACATCAACTGACTGTCATACGGTGTGTTGAGTCTCCTAACTGGAAACCCACTTTAAGACAGTTAATCCTATGGAAGCTGTTTTTCAGACATTATTCTGCTGCAAATCCACTTATTTTTCCCTTTGCTTATTCCGCCCACTCACATGCTTCCTTAATTTCAACAAGGGAGCAAAATAGAAGAAAGAAAACCCAAACAGTGGTGACTGTGAAGACATACATGGTACCAGGCAGATAAGAAAATTCATTCTGTACCTTAATAAAGCCATTCTCAAGCTGTGGTGGTTCTCCACAGGACACTGGGTGGCAAGTGGGCAGACTGCCACTCCAGTTGCCAGTGGCCTCACAGGTCCGCTTCTTCTCTCCCTTGATGTAGAAGCCCTTGTTGCAGCTGTAAGCCACCACTGCTCCAAAGCTGTAGTTGGCCCCACTAGCATAACCATTGCTAATGTGGGGAGGTTCTCCGCAGCGAACGGGGATACACTGGATGCTCAAAGGAGAAGGATTCCACTGGCCCCCTCGAAGGCACTCGATCTTGGCTGAAGTGTTCAACACAAAGCCTTCCATGCACTTGAAGCTCACAATGGAGCCAGCCGCAAACCTGGCTTTACTAATGGACTCCAGGATGCTATATGAGACAGTGGATGGTTTTTCACAAAAATCAGCTATGCAGTGGGGCATCTCCCTGCCCTCTGGAGGCACCCACTTCCCTTCTGCATTGCAAAGCAGCTGAGAGTTATCAGCCAGGCTGTAGCCATCTGAGCAGAAGTAATAAGCCACATCACCAAAGAGGCGGTGGCCACTCTCTGGTGATGCATTCTCTACATGGGGTGGTTCATCACAGGATACTGCCAGGCACTGCTGGTGGCTCACACTCCACTTGCCGCTGGCTAAGCACTCTATGGTTGCAGGGCCAACTAATGTGTAACTGTGGATAAGGAAACCACATAGGAAGTCAAAAATACAAGCATTGTCAAATGTTACCTACAGTTTCCTGAAGCCCCTGCAGTACAAGCTAGCACCCTGGAAGAATAGGATCCTTTACAAAAGTCATGACACACTTCAAAAGGCAAATCCTAAAATCTACATTTACATGGTGAGGCTTCATCTGAATATCACTCCTGAACTTTCATTTTGGTTGAAACTACTAAAACAAACCTAGCATTGTGCTGTGATAGTCTACATAAGCCTCAAGGAAATGATCCCATCAAGAAGTTTTTTCCGTTTAGCAAAAGTGAATGGAGAAGAAAGACATGAGAAGCCGGTAAGGGCCTTTTGGGTTATTTTATCAGCCCTCTCAATCTATTTTAACACTTGCAAGCAATGTAAAACTTAATGAGCTAGCCAGGGATGTTTTTGCCAATAACGCACATGGCAATTTTGTAGCAACTCCTTCCTAAACCATTAAAAATTGTTACAAAAGTCAATAAAAAATTAATGCTGAGCATGCAACTGTACCACATGATTGCTGGTAGTGTAGTTCTATTTCTTTAATCTGTTTCTGAGATGCAGTGGCAGACATTACTCAATGTTGCTCATCACCCCATCTAAATTTGCTACTTAAATGTGCAGCAGTACAGTCACAATACCTGTGACTACCTTCTTTCTCAGTTTTGAGACCTCAGAGGTGTGCTTTCACAGAAAGCAAAGAAACAGTGACTACAACAGAATTCCCAGTGACTCTTTCCAGCTGCAGGCTTGAAACTGGTTGTTCAGATTTTGATGACAACATCTGAAAAAGGGATTTGTTTTGTTTGCAGGATTTGTTTTCAAAGTCTCATGACTGAACTCCAGAAAAACAGCCTACTACGTACCAATATTTAATATGATCCACTGTAGTCATTGTCTCAAACAGCTGTGGCCTTCTTTAGATGTTGCTATCCTATCTCATTTAAAATGCTTGCACAGGAAAGAGTAGCAGCTTTTTAAATTGTAATACAGTCAAGATAACAGAATAAGGATATTTTGCTTCAATTCTTTGGAATAATATTGCCAAGCCAGTTTATAAGAAAAATGCTGGCTTATCAATCTACTGTTTTACATTAAGACAGAGCAGAAAATCCTCCAAGTCACTTAGGGCCTGACCTGGGAAAAGCTCTGCATACCTACTCTCCCTTTCGGACAGAACATTTACAAGAAATTCAATGGGACTGCTCACAGGCTGTAAAGATAAGCATGTGCAAAGGTTCTTGCAGGATCAGAGTCCAGTGTTACATTCATGCTCAACATCATCAAAATGGAGCCTCACCTTTGATCAAATACAGTCTGAAAAGGTCACTGTGCTGAGTAGATAGAAATCAAAAAAAAAAAAAGGACTTCAGTGAACGAGGAGTCAGGCTTCTACAGAAGCAGAATTTAGAATATCAGAAGAGACGGTTCTCAAAACACACTAGCTTTCTTATAGTCTGAAGAGACACAGAGAATTCTTTATGATTCAGGCCTTGAGTTTACCACAGAAGTACTAGTAGTAACTCCAAGTGAAAGGGCTTGCTATTGAATTGGTCTATCATTCCCCGTGACTCTTCTCCATTCTCCTCCACCACAGGGCATTCAGCTGCAGTGAAACTATTCTTAGAAATGCCTGTATTTCCCATACTAACCTGATAGCCCACAAAACCCCCTCCATTGCGTTTAATTTTCAGACAGTTAAGGCAGAAGCAGTAAAAATTAGTGTGTAGTTATAAAGGACTTGTGAAGCAGTATTCCAGTTTTACTAGTCCTGACTATTGGTGCAGTAGTGCTAGTCTACATACCCTTCCTTACACATGTAAGAGACCGTGTTTCCAAAAGTAAAGTTATTTCCATTGATGACTGCGTCTTTGATGGCAGGAGGGGATCCACAAGAGATGATGTTGCAAGCTGGAGGAGTACTGTTCCAGTTCCCTGAAGATGTACAGACAAGTACAGAAGGTCCCTGAAGGCTGAGACACAAAGATCATTATTAAGGCTGTCATTTCAATTCACGTGAGAAACAGAGAGGGAAAGTCATGCTTTGCTTCTCACTGATTTCCTGGCCCCAGTGAAACCAAGGGGAGTCTCTCACAGACTTCAGCAGATGCCAGAGTCTCACCCCCTATTCATGAAAAAGCACTGCAGATGCTGTCAAGAAAGCTGGTCTTCAGATCATTTTTAAGAGAGAGCTGGTGGAATTCATGTGGGGCCTCAATGCACTGTGTAGACACATACATAAAATCTGCTGTAATTTTGCCCGTCTTTGAGCCACAAAAGAAAGTCAGGGAGAACTTAAATATTGATTTAAGCTTAAAGATTGACTAGTATGCCATCAACACTATGCCAACCTTGAGACTTGCAACTAGGCCTCAGTCTGAGACCTACTTCACTCAGGGACTTAAACACTACCTTAATTCAGAAATCTGAAGGGAAGGCTCCAGTTCAGGCTTTTACAGAAAGGCATTCAGTTCCTTCAGCAGGTAAAGGATTTTACTTGAGTGAATGGCCACATACATTCAGAGCTCATGATATTTTTACGGTTCCTTAGTTATGCACTCTTACGAAAGGTGTGACTCATTTGTCTAAAGAGAGGCATTCAACATCAACATGAGACAACCTGGGTGAAGCCCATGGTCTCCAGCTACTACGTCAGCCAGCTGTATATACCTAGGAAGTCCCTTGTCATATCTAAGAGCCCTACACAGGTGTGTCTGTTTCCTTACAATTTAGTCTCAAATAGTATTAGACCTCCATGTTTAGTTGTCTAAAATGAGTTCAGACACTAACAGAAGAGAACAATGCTGACCTGTAAAACCCTTACAGATATGGCACAAGCCCTCGTCAGGGCAGTTGGCTCTGCCTGCTTGTGGTAATATGTTTAAGACAAAAAATACGTAAGAGGTACTTGAAGGAAGACAGCTGGTCTACACTTAGGTCCGGAAACACTGTATAAGATGGACACTGTTTGGGAGTTTCTCTTGGAAAGGTGACCACAGGAGTAAGGACTTCTCTCACCAAGCTATGCTAGGCTGGCAAAGAGTCACAAATAATGTGGTATTTGCTGCCTTTATGTCCTAAGTCCATGTTGACATTGGTAAAAACACTGTCTAGTTTCGTGTGGTACAGATAAGCCCACACTCTGGATCTACGACTCAACACTACACTGGACTGCAGATGAGGTATCCATTTGTGTTATTACAACCAAAATATTGACCAAATGAGTACACCTCATGAACCTGGACATGCATCTGGACAAAGGAACATGTGCAGCAGGAAACCACAGAAAAAATTCAGACCTAAACAGGGCCATATGAGACCACTTATGTCAGAGTAATCTGCTAGAGGTACAAGCAGGTATCAGAAGACAGAAACTTGCACTTCAGGACACATCCCGGGATATAGCATCACTGTATTAATTTTTAATTGCAGCATACTAAAAATGTGTTTCCAATATAATTGCTTACAAACATAAACTGGAACAAAAGCCTAGAATAAATAACAACTATAAAGAGTGCAAGGACTGAATTAGTGACTTCCAGAAGGTTCTTTTACTGAAGGCATTTTAAAACAATAGCAAAACCAGAATTTGGTATGTGCCAAAGCTGTAGGGGTATGATAACCTTTAAAGACAAATAAGAACTTTCAAAAATAATGGCAATTATTTTTCTGAATATTCAAAATATGTCTTCGAGCCTGATGGAAAAAAAAATCATTGCATATATATGTATAGCAAATCCTGAATGACCTTCCTGAATGGTTCCAGTTTAGGCTAAAATACAGAAAGTACCTTAAACATATAAAGAAGCCTTTCAAAATCCTGTTTTAGTATTTTGTCTTTCTGACCAATGATCCCAGCTTTGTCTCTTTCAGACATAACTTAGTTCTTCTAACAACTCTGCCATCTGCATTTGGCTCAGGGATGTTCCTGTGTTTACCTGTATCCATTGTCACAGGTGTATGATACAGAGGAAAGGTAGGTTGTGCCAGTGAGTGTGTATTTTCCGTTGCTGATATTCTGTGGGCTAGGACAAGTCACCATTTCACAAGATGGGGGAGGATGATTCCAAACACCACTAGCAAGGCATAGAATTTCCTTCTCACCCACTAAGTTGTATCCGTCATTGCACCTGAGTAGGAAGAAAGGAGGTGCTATCAAAACCAGGGCCTTTTATGCCCAAATTACAAATCAGCCATCCCTTTTCTCTCCATCCACACCTGCATACACTTTCCTTCTCTGCATGGCATAGAGAAGTAGTATTGGAGTAAACATTCAGCTCTGACACTGAACAGCCACAGCTATAACCGAATGTCTTTCCATTGCTTTAATCTCACCTTGCTCTTCCACTTCAATCACTTCCAAGTCAGCCGTACTCCTACTTATTCCCAGACTCTTGATCAGTTATCAATATAGCATTTCAAACATACTGAATTCCTACCTGTACACCACCTTGCTGTGGTATGTAAAATTTGAGCCCCAAATGGCACTGTTCTCTGGAATAACTGGACCACCACAGGATATAGCTTTAAAAAGACAGGATCACAAGAGAGGTTGATACAACACAAACGAAAAAGAATGAAAAACAGGATTTGCTTTGTTTTCTCTACATAGGTTTGAAGAGGTATAAAACTCTAGGTAACACTGAGTTCTTGACTAATCTATAACCGACATTTAGAGCTCTTTAGCTGACAAGAAATTGGACTAACTGGAAATCAGTAGTTGGAACTGTTCTACAAACAACATACTTGACTGACAAGAGAGCTCCATATCAACCCCTCCCTACAGATGAAGTAATTGATTTTTTGACATTGTCTTTGCCACTCCTTCCTTTAACTCTGTTGGTTCACCTTATTAATTCTGTTTTTCTAAAGAAACAGTTTCTGCAAACATTACACATATACGTACATGCACCAGCCTGTCCTCTCTGTTTGTTTTTTATCCCCTGAACCACAGTTAATGACCTTTAAGACATTAAGTTCCCACAAGTTCCTTGAAAACAAGAGGACAGGTGGAGAAGAAAGACACTTCTAATGTTTGCATTAAAATGAGGTAACTCTATGCCTTTGACACATTGGAGAATCTGCAGAAGAGAGCAACACTATGAATATGACAACTAGAAAAGGTTCAGCTGGTGCTTACATCTCTTAAGAGAGCAGAGACTTCAACACTGAGACCCAGGACTGCTACGACAGGGTTTCATTACCTGCCATGGTCTCTAATGGCACTACACTACTACTTTTCTCCTTCTCTAACAAGATACATTACAACATGGATTCTCCCCAGGAACCGTACCTTCACAGTATGGTACTGGGTGGCTCCATTCTCCAGACTCCATACATGTAAGTTTAGTTTTTCCTGTCAGCTTAAATCCGTCTTCACAGGAAAACGTTACTTCGCTGCCAACACTGTGAATGTCCCCATGTAAATGGCCATGCTCTGGATTTCCAGGATTACGACACTTCACCGGTTCTGAAGAGGAAAAGAGAAACTACCAACAACATAACAAAGTACCAGGTTTTAGAAACAAGTTGCAGGAGATATCCCTGGGAATTTTCTGAAAGTCGAAAATATTCATAAGTAGTTTACAGCCTTATCAGCTTTTCTCTGTTCTGTATAATAGTGACAGGCACTGAATACTCACGCAAGCAAGCTAATCGATACGGAAGAACCCTCTGTAACTGATTTTGCATTCATTGTCAGAAGCAAACATATCTTGCAGTCATTTTTCACTCTGTGAGGGAAAGCCCATTCCGGCATATAGAGCCCTGAAGAGGAAATCAACTCAGCTACCATTTATCTTAACCTATGCCACCGTTGTCATCTTCATGCAAAGTTACCTTGCTTAATGTTTTCACAGGCAGCTCAAGCCCTACTTGTATGTCTGTATTTAAATGTTTCTTCACTGCACAGCTTTATTCAGCGAAGTGGCAAATTGCAGGCTTCCCAGGTCTTCAGCACACATGCTCCATGTGCAAAAGGATTTTGCACCTGTGTTATGTTCTGGAGCAGAATCCCAACGACAGCTGTCTCCATAAGGAGAGCTAAGTTCTCAGGAAGCAAAAGTAGACACTTCATCACAGCCTCATCCAGTTCAAAGTGACCAGGAGATGGTAGCATGCTTGCCCTGTCCTTCCTTAGATATGAATTACTGGCAACTGTCTTCCACAGTGGGAGGCAGGATACCGGCCTACACAGAATCTTGAAACGGCTAGCTGTATGTTTTTCCTTCCCATACCTGCACATTTTTTACCATCTCCTGTGTAGGGAGGGATGCAAGTGCAAACATAGGATCCATTTGTGTTGAGACAAGATGCATGCTCATCGCAGTCTGATCCAACTGCACATTCATCAACATCTGCAAAACAGAAACACAAAAAAGATGTCTCTAGGGTGGTATTTGTAATAAGTATCTGCTTTAAGTTTCCGTCTCACAAACTGCCAAGAGGAATTGCTTTAATTAGTATAATTTAACATCACCTTTACCTCAATCACATTTTTGAAGCGCGAGTAAAAATATTTAATATTTAAATTAATATCTATGTTTTCTATATAATTTCCTATACAGTATCATGACAGGTGAGAAAATTTGGGGACAAATCCTATTATCCTTGTTAAAACTTCCACCAAAAGTATCTGATTTCCAAGTACTAATGGAACAAGCATTTTAACGCTCATGCTTTTACTACTAGCTTGGATAGACATTATGAGGTCTGAACACTTGCTTGGGGAAATCCTTTGCATTTCAAACTTCCCACCTCTAAGACATGAAAACTTAGTCAAGTGGGGAAATACCCTGAACACAAAACATGATCAGAGCCCCATTTTTGCTGAAGAGAATTACTGTATACTAGGAATTAAGTGCCTGCAGCTGCCAGATAAAATTAGTTCAAAATGCAGTGTTATTACAATTAACTATTTTTTAGGATAGTAGTGCCTAGAAATGTCAATTGACAATTTACGCTCCATGTGGCTTGATAATATACAGCAGGAAATCCCTCACTCCAGAATGCTTAATATCAACTTTCAAATGCTGACTGTACAGAAGTGTTCTTGGTATGCAAACAGTAAGTCATAAATTGCAAAGGGCCAGTTTCAAAGTATCTAACTGAAAAATGCTGGCATCAGAGATTATTCTTTATATAAACCATACTGCTAGAGACAGAATATTCTTCATTTAAAAGTCCTGTTACAGGACAGCTGTTGAACTAGGTATACTACGCAGACATATAACTTGGGTAAAAAAGTAACAAAATTTACTGAATTGGTGTGTTTATTCTTCATTGCTGAATGAGTCTAGACAGCACGAGAAGAACACAATAATGTTCTGAAAAGGAGTTTCTTTCTGACATGCAGGATGAAAACTGCACATTAAAATCAAAACAGTTGCCAATTACACAAGCATTAAGAAAATGCAAAGTGCTACCACCATAGAACCAGAGTGACGGCTCCTCCTTGTAACGTCCTGTAAGACAAGGGAGGGTGGAAAGACACTGAGTCAGATCTGTAAGATCAGAGCAAAAGGAATGCTTCAGGGTATAGGTGTACTCAGATTTGTCAGCACCTGCCTGGAGCGTGAATCAGAAATGTAAACAGGTGGGTTAGGGTGCCAGAGCTACTCTTGTTTTCATTTCCTCCTCAGCTTATTCTGCTTCAGGAGAGGCAAAGCAAGAGACAAAGGGGAAGGTGGGGCACAGAGACTTTTCTTCCTCAACATCATGCTTCCTACTGCACAGATTTCAAACTATTTGGACAGCACCGCAGCATTGGCTCTGAGACTGCTCATCTTTAGGCCTTGGTATAAAGTGGAAAGGAAAAAAACCCAGAGGAAAAACAGACTGGACAGTCTGGAGGGTCTGAAGGAGTCCTGGTAAACAGGATCCTATGAAACCAGATGGGCCCTATCCCAAAATGAATTTTGGCAGAAGTAAAAGTCTCTTAGCTTTCCTTTTGCTTATCTTCACTGAAAAAATTATGTGCTATACCTACATAAAAAATTAAGAGTGAAATAAAACATAAATGTTGCCAGGTTTCTACCCTGCAGCTCCCATGACAGGCATGACCAAGACAGCAGCAATCCAAGTACACCTAACTAGTGGATTCCAGCAGGGATCTGCTGGAGACATGGCCCTACAGGAACAGTCACACTCAGACCTTTGTAAGCATTACAACGCTGATCTGTCTCAACTTTCAGATTCTGCAGCTGCATCTAGTATATCAGACCCAGCTGACTGGCAGGTAAATTATGGTGTGGCAGCTATGTGAACTGCGTCTGCAAGTGCACTCCCAGCCCTCTCAACACTGCAGCAGCTTGCTGTGGACAGCCAACAAACCCCCACAGCGGAAGAAGGCTTAGAGAAGATGGGCAAAACTTATCTGCCCAAGAACCCTAAGCAATAATGCAGGGTGTGACTGACCACTGCCGTTACAAAGAAGCCGACTCAAAACAAGGGAACAGGCTGGTGGCCTTTATTTTAGGTAAACAGCTATCAACAGTTGAGTAGATCAACCAGTGACATAAATTCTGAGTTCATCAAAAGAGTGTGAATGTCTCCCTGAATTAGACAGAGCTGGGAAGGAGAGAAATTGAATATGTACCTCAAAGAGTATAAGACCCAGCCAATTAGGAATGGGCTTAAGCTGGCTTTAACTCACATACTTGTTCTCAGCTACTGTGGGGATGCCCAGTATCATGATGGTGAGCATATTATAGAGACATAATGGAAAACACCCTGGTATTGTGACTGAATTGTGTGTTCCAGTTGCTGTATTTGGCAAGTGTAACTTTTATTTATTTGCATTGTGTTATGCAGTAAATTTTTTGTCTCTGCTAAATCAGAAATCCTGTGCAGCATCAATTATCTTTGAACAAGTAAATTTGATATTAAACATTACAACCTCCATACATCGAACATCTTGAAGAACCTGGTCAAACACTACAGGATACTGACAGTGTGCTGAAGCACAGGGAAATGCACAGGATCGAAACAGAGAATGTAAGGACTATAGGCCTAAATGAACCTGGAAGGATTTAGCCTGGGAGTGCAATGCAGGCTTATTAAGTATGAGGTGTGCATGACAGAAGAGGACTGACACAGAAAGGTACGAGAATGTAGTTTTGGCTTCACATAATGCTGAACATGGTATTTCAGAAATGTGAGTATTCTGGAATGTGATTTCTGGGACTCTGGTCAATTTCCAAATGAATCCCATCCAAACCCAAAGACATAGAAGTACACGATTGTCAGCCCACGCAGCTACATGTATGGTACATCTCACCAAGGCAAGATGGTGAAATGCTGTTCCAGCTCCCATTGTCCAGGCACAACATCCTGGAGTCGCCCAACAAATAGTAGCCATTGTTGCAGTGATAGGTAACGGTACTACCAGCAAAAAAGTCTTCAGCTGAATAATATCCATTTTCCAAAGGTGGAGGCACTCCACAGCTGATTCCTGCAACATGAGTGAAAAGAGGCACAGATATTAGTAGAGTGCACACAGATCAGCTCCAGAAAAATTCTACAAGAGAGTCACCACCTCAGACTTTTTTCTCTGCAACTCTGCAATCCCATCTGCAAGGAGGTTCAGACCTTTTCTAAGATAGCTAATTGACTCCAGGCCCAGTGGAGGATTTTATTTTGTGGCGACTTGGCAGTCAGAGACTGAGCAGGACTCTCTAGCCCCTGCTATTCTGCTTGCTCTGGAAGACGCAACTGTGACTAAGATATGAGCAGATACCCTTCAGTCACAGGACACATTCCTTGGTAATAATTGGTCCTTGATGAGTTTTAAGGAAAAAGGAAAAGTAAGTCTGCCTCCATGTTGGAGATTAAAATGGTTTACTTGTAGAATATTAGAATTAATTGTGGGATCACTTAAACTTACGATGAACTGAAAGTTTTTTTGACTTACGAGTGACACTGCTTAGCACGCACAGCCAGATTTACTGAAGTCTTAGGCCTATCTGTAGACTTTCAGCTAAATACTGCTGAGCTCAGGCTGAAGTAAGGCCCAGAAACGGCTAATTAGAAAGATATGATCAACAGAAACTGCATTCTCAAGATAAGAAAAGAATGCCCACCTGGAGATAGAGAAAGGATCCAGTGAGGAACAAGAAGACCCCAGACCCAAATACTACTATTGGACTGAAGCACTGTGTGAGGGGAGGCAACTTGCAAGGGTGTAACTGTCTGTGGATTTCTTTGTTCAGGGTCCCCTCCTGGAGGGTCCCAGCTCAAACTGAAATAAAGCAATTCTTGTAGAGCCTAGGGTCTTAACTTCTTCATAGTTGGGGGCTAAGACTAGATCTAGCCACACCTAGACTACTCTAAGTGTGGAACTTTAGAAAGTAAGGGGGTCCAGTCTGAACCTCATGACGTGGCAGGCAGGGGTTCCTGGGATCTT